ATAACGTAGAAGAAGGCAAACAGCTGCAGCAGAATTAGGATCGTCCTCGATAGGCTCCGGATAGAGACCTACTGAGGCAACCCACCTGAAACAAATCTTTGAAAAACGATCAGAACTTCAATTTTCAGAAGTTCCGAAAAGTATTCTCAACGAACACACGCCTATGCTTCAGTAACGCCAAAGACTGTCTTGAATAAAAATTTATGCAAACTCAACAATAATTTTAAACAAACAGAACATGTATTAATGAACAACAAAAGCGGTAAAGAAATTGAGCAAAATGATCTCAAATATTCACATTCTATCACAATTTATAACATCCTATTCAAAAACCGAACATTCCAGCTTGAACGCTGTCCAAAACTTAATTCTTAATTTACGAAACAATTCATTTGACAGAACAGACAACAACGATCCCCGAAAGTTGAACCAAGGTTGTTTTACGATAGTTTTCTTTCCAAAAATTGCTTTACTCAAACAGCAAGAACACAATTCCTTCAAATGTAAATCTCCCTAGGTAGACATCTTATAACAACCATCCGTTTCACTTTTTCCTTTTGCTAAAATGAGTAGCTTCCTCGGGAATGCGCTAAATGCACAGCCCGTCCGAGAGGTACAGCTTCAAATACCCGACCGTCCATCAAACTATCTTTTCCCAACATGAATAATAAGAATATCGAGAAAGTGAAGCGGAATTTGTTTCACGCCGACCAGAACAAAAACCATAACTCTTTTCTATGAGGCTGACCCGAATATAGCTAGCATTAAGACGGAATGCCAATCGAAAGGAGGTGGAGGGGGAAGGAGGGGTGAAGGAGGAGGAGGTGGTTCCAAAAAGCCCGCAAAAAAACGGATAGGAAATTTTGAGTAACAGACTTCAGCCATTTCGAATTGCTGCGCACAAATTTGCTCCTGGTTGTTTCCCAGCCTCAAGTTTGTTGAGAGGGGGGGGGGGGCGGATGTTAAGAAAAATCGTTACCCATTGGATTGGAGCTGAATGTAGAAATGGTAGTGGGTGACTGGACAATAAAAATCCAAAGGAAAACGACTTAAGACCCGAGAATTGGGACCCTTCCCGATTTCTGTTTCGGACGAACCAATTACCGAGAATTGCTCGTTTACACGTACTTATCCCGATAGTTGGTATATGCCAACATCTCTTCATTGATGACGCATACCCTTGAAAGTTGAGAACCATCTCTGAGCCAAGGTCTCTATGATAAACGGCTAAAGTCAGACGGGGAAGGGTTACCTATCGGCGGGAGTGGCGAAGATGCGAGCGGCGCGGGTACGACCCTCTAGGCGCATTCCTCGTTGCGGAACACATACCGTC